TCCAACACCACCGCTCAAAGGCATCAATTCTCTTTCTATCCTCCTTATCCACCAAATGATAGATCTACAAAATACATATAACAATAGTTAACAGACTTGAAGGAATAGACAACATTACAATAGTGGTAGGAGATTTTAATACACCACTCTCACCAAAAGAGAGGTCAACTAAAAAAAAAATTAACAAAGATGCAGAAGATCTCAACTACACAATCAACTAACTTGACCTTATGGATGTATTCAGGATATTTACTCAATTAAAAGTCAGTTTACTTTCCACTCAAGTGTGTAGTACATACTCCAAAAATGATCATATATTAGGACACGAAGCAAGCCTCAACAAATTAAAAAACACTGAAATAAAATGAAGTATCTTTTCAGACTACCATGTCATAAAACTAGAAATTAAGAACAAAAAGAGTAAAGATTAAAAAAACCCCACTCACAAAGAAGCTAAATAATACCATACTAGAATACTATTGTATGACAGAAGAAATTTTAAAAAAAAAGGAAATTAAAAAGTTCTTCTAAATATTATAATAAAATGGCAACATATCAAAACCTCTGGGATACAGCTAAGACAGTCCTCAGGAGACAGTTCATAGCAATAGGCAAACATATAAGAAAGGAAGTGGCAAAACTAATGATCTAGGTCAACACCTCAATCAAATAGAAAAAGAATAATAATCTAACCCCACAGCCTCTAGAAGAAAGGATATTATAAGGACAATGGTTGAAATCAATGGCATAGAAAATGTAAAAACAATTGAAACCATTAACAAGACCAAGAACTGGTTCTTGAAAGAGGTTAATAAAATAGAAAAACCATTGCAAAGTTAAGAAAAGACACAAATAACTAGAATAAGAAATTATAGCAGTGATGTCACAACAGAATTATATGCAATTAAATCTATGATATCAGAATATTATGAAAAACTATACTTTGATAAATTTGAAGACCTAGAGGAAATGGACAAATTCTTTATATTTCAAGCCCTACCTAGATTAACATGACAGATGTAGAACACTTGAACAGATCCAACGCAAAAGAAGAAATTGAATAAATCATAAAAAAGATTCCCCTCCTTAAAAAAATCCTGGCCCAGATGGCTTCATTGCTGGATTCTACCAAATATTCAGAGAAGATCCTCCACTAGTTCTTTTCAAATTATTTTTTAAAAAATAGAAAAAGAAGGAACATTCCTCGAAGTCATTCTAAAAAGCAAGCATAGCCCTAATATCAAAACAGGCAAAGATATTACCGAAAAAGAAAACTACAGACCAATATTTCTTGTAAACATAGATGCAAAAATTCTTAACAAAATCCTGGTCAATAGAATTCAATAGTATATCAAAAACATAATTCAGCATGACCAAGTGGGATTCATAACAGGTATGAGAGGATGGTTCAACGTAGGAAAATCAACAAAATTCATCATATTAATGAAGCAATTAACAAGAACCACATGATCCCATCAGTTGGCAAAGAAAAAGCCTTTGACAAAATCCAAAACTTCTCCCTGATTAAAATACTTAGCAAAATATAAATAGAAGAGAATTCCCTCAGTATACTGAAAAGTATATATGCAAAACCAAGAGACAACATAAATAAAATAATATATTCGCCAAGTGCTCTGCAAATCAGAGCAGTTTTCACTTCTCTGAAAGCCAGCTGGAGGGTCAGCTATGGGTTGGTTCCGTCTCAACAGTACCCAACAACGACTACAAAAGGCCTAGTGGTAAGAAATTGCACTGCAATCCCAAAAGCCTGTGCTTTGAATCCACAGGTGAAAGGTGGGCAGTCTCTTACCACAGAATTTACTGCCCCTGAAAACCCACTGGAGGGTAGGTTCCAGCTTAGCAGTGCTAACAACAATAATACATAATCAGAGAGCCATGATAGCTTAGTGGTTAGGACTTGTGCTGTACTCCCAAAGACATGCAGTTCAAATCCACCAGCTGGTCTGTGGGGGAAAGATGGGCAATCTCCTCCCATGTAATTTACTGTCATTGAAAACCCACTGGAGGGTTAGCTATGAGTTGGTTCCAACTCCACACCACACAATAACAATACGTATTTAGTACTAGTATTTGCCATATGGCCTCTCTTTGGTATATATGCCAGACAGTATGCTAACAACTGGGAATACAGCAGTAAACACAGTAGAGAGCACAGTAAACACTGTCTTCATGATCTTAAGCTCTTCATAGGAGACACTGTACAAATAAATGTATCATTGCATAGTGAAGAAAGAAAAAAGCTGTAAAGAAGACTGGGTCCAGTGGGAGTGTGAATCATCATATAGGAAGTTGACTTTGGGAAGCTTTCTCTTACAAGTGATAGTTAAGCCCAGACAGAAGGGAGAGGTCATCTAGGCATAGTGACCTTATATAAGCAAAGGCCCTAAAATGTAAAGGAGTCCCTAGAAGATGCAGATTTTTAACACCCTTAACTATTGGCTAAAAGATTGACATTTCAAGTTCACTGAGTCACACCTTAGAAGACGGACTTAGTAACCTACTTCCAAAAAAAAGCAGCCATTGAAAACCTTTATGGAATACAATGGTAATCTAAAAGTCAGTCGATTTGATGACAACTGGTGCTGGATGGTGTGGATGGCATGGAGAGGTAGGAAAGAATTCAACATCTCCTAGGAACTTAAAGGAGACCAGTGTGGAACCCAGAGATGAGGCCAAAGGAAAAAAAGGACAACCAAACCCACTGCCGGAGAGATGAGTCAGACTCAGCAACCTTCCACCCGATTCAGAGCTGAAAATATTTATGGGAGGACACTGCTCATCCTTCTTTCTTAGAGTGGCTGGTGGGTTCGAACTGCTGACCTTTTGTTTGCAGCCTACCATGTTACACCATCAGAGATCCTAGAAGGGTAATAATAGGAGCTAAGAAATACTGAGCCTTGGGTGCAATGCTATACTTTTAATCTAAACCCCTGGAAGGAATTTCTGAGGGTGACTGACATGAGTAGAATTGGGTGCCAAGATGACCACTTTGGCTACCATGACTTGAAAGAGAAATCTGAGTAGTAGAGTTATTCTACAGAGAGTTTATTGGAGAAGAGAAAAGAGGTGACAAATGTACTCAGAGACAGTGAGCATGAAGGTATATTTTAGAAACCAAATCACTACATTCAGACAGTGCTGAAGAAGAGAGTATTAAGTCAATCTCTGAGCTTTGTAAAGGAGCAAAGTGTTAAAGATGATGTTTGCTGAGATGGACACCTCTAAGATCATGTGGGGGGGGGAAGATTGATTATAATATATTGACATAAGTATATTGACTTACAACGTCTTCTGGGGCATCCACATAAATAAGTAAATAAATCTATTAATCCAGTACTCAAAATTAAGCTAGAAATACTAGATTTCAGAGCCAGGTATATATAGTTGGAATTCAGAGCTATGGAAATTCTGAGATCACCTGGAAAGGAGCAATAAGTAGAAAATGGGCCACAACAGAAATCTGATGGATGCTGGGTAGTCACGGGAAGAGAAGCCAGCCAAGGAGTGAGTGTGTTAGGAAACAAGAGAGAGGACCCCATGCAAAGACTAAAGAGAAAAGAGTCTGTTGAGGAGAGAATCAGTACCGTGGAATAGTGCCAACTGGTCTGGGGTGAAACAAGTGCTTAGATCTGCCAACAAGGAGGTTATGGAGGTCTCAATAAGGGAATAATCACAGAAATCCAACTAAGGCAGGCAAAGGAGTGAAAAGGAAGGGCCGTGTGCTCACTTGAGAAGAGTGGTCATAAATTTGACGGGAAAGCTGTCTACCCAATGATGCCATTTTTCTCTAGCTGCATTCAGTTATTTGGTGAAAACCTGGAAAACGTGGACATTGAGTTTATCCTGGCTGTAATTTCATTACATAAGAACGACAGGGGAAAGAGGGGAAGTTGGAAGAACTAAAATGATGGGCTGTAAAATCTAACTTGGTCAAGGAGGGAAGAGCTGATTAGGCAGGTAGAGGGCTAAAGGATTGGAGGGCTCCCAGAGGAGGGCTATGTCTGTGGAGGAGATGGTGGTCAGCAGAGAGAAAATGACTTCTGAGATAGCACAGTTTGTGTGATAACAAGTCCATATTTTAAACTGGTGACTGAAGAGAAAAAGTGGTTACTACTGGCTAGGAGGACAAGAATCTGAAAAATAAAGAGTAAATAGCCCTAAAGAGTAGAATCACCCCATAGACCTTCAGAGACTGTAACTCTTCACAGAAGCAGATGGCTACATCTTTCTCACATCTACCCTCTTGTCCACAGCCAAGCGTTTTAACTACTGTACCATAGAACTCCTTATAAACCCGTTGTTGTTCTTGTTTTGTACCATAGAGTCAGAACCGACCCATAGCTGACGCTCTGGTGGGTTTTCAGCAACAGTTAATCACACGGAAGGAGTTTGCCCATCCTTCTCCATAGTGCTCGAGAACCCTCAAGGTCAAGATAGTCGAAAAACACTGATATGTACGTATGAACATATGTACCAAAGGGGAAATATTCTTACAGCCTTATGAACCACTGCTGGTTCCGTGGCAGAATTCTCGCCTTTGATGCAGGAGACCTGGTTTGATTCCTGTGCCCCTCATGTGCAGACCCCACCCATCTGTAGGTCGTGTGTTACTGTGATGCAAAGCAGATTCCAGCAGAGCTTTCAGGATAAGATGACGTAGGAAGAAAGGCTTGGCAATCCACTTCTGAAAATGAGGTCAATGACCTGGGAAAAGAGAGGCATCGATTCTAAATGTGTGTCCAAGGAAATCTTCATAGCAAAATGGACTTTCCTCTGAACTTGGAAGAAGGGGGAGAGTTTGAAAGGCACCGGACCCCTGTGGCACCACAGGCCACTGAGCTAGGCCGTCCTGAATAGCAGGTCCTGTATATGCCACTGCTTATCCCCTCAGGACAGGCCTCCTACCTCCTGAGGGCTCAGCCCACCCTCAGATTTGCCCTAACATACCCATTCTCTCTCTCTCTCCAGCTGTGAGCCGGATGAGTGGCCGCCCTCTGAAGGAGATGTCTGATAATCACAGCAGCCCTCTCCTGCCGGAACCTCTCTCCAGTCGATACAAACTCTATGAGTCTGAGTTCACCAGTCCGAGCTGGCCCTCCAGCCCCCAGGACACACACCCAGCCTTGCCCCTCCTGGAAATGCCTGAAGAAAAGGTAAGGTGTATCCACTCACCCCCAGGACCTTCCATAAGTGAGGGACAGGGAAGACACAGAGTGGAAGAAGCTGCTTGCCCAGTTTTCCAACACACTTCAGGGCCTCTGCTGGGAGAGGCTGGCCCGTCGGTCTGGGGGTGGACCTGCCCTACTAAACCATCAGTAGAACGTGAAGCTCTGTGTCAGTAGTCATACCAAGGACCAATAAAGAGCACGCACAGTGGCAGACTTTCACCAGTGTCCAAAAGCATTCTCCCAAGACCCTCTCCTATCACTTACCCCCATCTCCATAAAGAAGGCCTCTCTTCAAAAGCAGACTATGAACACTTATCGGATGCTTAACACAGCTGTGGTCTGATAGCTAGTGATTCTGCAAAGAAATCAGGCTACTAAGGTGAACTGAGGTTCCCCCCCCCACACTTTTTCATGATTATTATTTATTTTTAATGAAAGTTTACAGAGACTTTGGATTTCCATTTATTCATTGTTGCACTTTTCTCCCTGCCCTCTCCCCCAGTTCACTCTTCTCTTTGAAAAGTAAAAGAAAAATTCTTTCATTGTTATACAATCCCTCCCTCTAAATCCACTCCACTATGCAGCCTTCGTTCTGGACTCCTGTCATGACAATAATACCTAATTACATATCCCTTTTAAACAGTTCTCTCCCTCATCTGTTTCAATGCAATATACATAATTTATCCCATCTTTCCCATCCTCCCCCCAACCGCGATGTCAGTCCCATTTTACAACAGTGGCATTATGTAGTATTTGTCCTTTTGTGACTGAGATATTTCACCCAGCAGAATGTCCCCTAGGGTCACCCATTTTGTATAATATTTCATGAGTTCCTTGTTTTATATGAGATATATACTTCACGTACCATAAATGTTTATGTGTATGTTTATGTGGCTTTTATAATTTTGACAAAATTGTGCAAACATCTTCATTATTTAATTCTATCCTATTTCCATCACCCCAAAAGGAAACCACCATACCATTCATTAGCGGCTACACACACTTCTCCAGTCACCTCGGTTTTTTAACTTATAAAAACCCTGTGCCTTCGCTTCGGGATTGCAGTGCAGTTTCTCACCACCAGGCACCAGAGCTCCCTAGAAATCTATTAGGAATCTCAAAGGCTTTCAATTAGAATCCGCCAGATCCTCAGCAGGAGAATGACTCCTCCTGTGTGACTTACTGCCTTTGAAAACCTACTAGATGGGCTGATGTGACTCAGTGGCACACAACAACAATGATTAAAAAAAAAAAAGTCTATTAAGCTGCCAGGAGAGGAGGAAGCCTTTTCTTTTATTTCTGCTCTTGTTTTTATCATTTCAGTTTTTTTAGAGGGTGTCAGGTTTTCTTGCTGTTCTTTTTCAATTTGCTGGAGATATTGGGTTAGAGAGTCAATAGTCTGTTTTTCCTGTCTTTTGATGTGTTTGCTTATTGCTATAAGTTGACCTCTGATTACTGCTTTGGCTGCTTCCCAGAGGTTTTGGCAAGTGGTGTTTTCATTGTCATTAGTTTCAAGAAACTTTTTAATTTCATTTTTTATTTCTTCTACTACCCAGTCATGTTCAAGCAAGGTGTTGTTCAGGGAGGAAGCCTTTTCTAACTGGCCACTTTCATTTAAGATGTTTTCAACGTGTAGGTAGTCGTATAAATCAGTACTGTTTCTTTTTATTCTGAATTATATTCCATGATATGAATATACCACACTCTGTTTATTCATTTATCAATTGCTGCATCTTAGACTTGTTTCCACATTATCGATAATGTTGCTTTGAATATTAGTTTGCAAGGTTTTATATGGACGTAAGTTTTCGAAACTCTTGGGTTACAAAATCCTGAACATAAAGAGGGCATTAGTCCTGAGCAGGGTCCTCTGAAACTGGAGTCCCCTGAGAATGTTGGTCAGTGAGCTCTCTGGTCTCAGGATCCTTTACTTGATGTGACCCTAAAGCCTGACACTCTCATCCACCCTTCCCCAATGGCCCTGTTCTTCCTGAAAGCCATCTTATTTACCATTTTTGTCCTGGCTTCCCCTGCAGGATCTCAGGTCATCCACCGAAGACAGCCACATCGTGAAAATTGAAAAGCCCAATGAGAAGAGTAAAAGGAGAGAAAGCGGGGTGGCCCAGAGGAGCTCCTCAGCCCACGGGGGCCTCAGCCTCTTCCAAGCAGTGGGGTACCTCACCGGTGAGATGAAGGAGTGCAGGAACTGGCTGAAAGGTAGGCAAACACCAGTAGGAGCTCCTGGGCCAGCCACAGGGGACGCCAATCCCTCTGGCTTGGACCGAGAAAGCTGCCTCTTCCCTTCCCACAGGCTCTGGGTTGACTCTGGTGGAGCCTTGTACACCCACAGTCCTCAAATTCCCACCATTCAGAATTAAAACTGGGCTGAGTTCTTTGGACTGAGAACTACATTCTTTGCAATGTTGCCTATATAGAATCCAGGGCAACCACACAGCCATTTCCCAAGTGACCATTCATTCCTTCACCTGTCCCACAGCCTTTCATGATGTGAATACTGTGTGCCAGGGAAATATTGGCATCACTGTTTCAGGGTTCTTTAAATGTCTTCCCACTCCCCACTTCCCTGAGCTACATGCTTCAACAAACATCCCCTTACGAAGCCCCACCTGCCCCCACCTGCGCAGGTCACCCTGGAAACCAAACCAAAGAATAAAACAGAATGTGTGTTCCCTCTTCCAGACCTGGCTCCCTCCAGACCTTAATTCAGAAGTGATTTTCACAGCTCAGCTGAGCAAGTTTTCCCCAGCATCCTTTCCCCTCCTCCAGGCCACTTCATGCTGCCCAGATACCAGCTCTCAACTGAGTTACAAGCACTGTGTAGAGAATTTGCCGCCCTGCCCTCCTTCCCTTGGACCAATGTGTTTCCCTTAGAATGTTCTGGAAGCTTCCTTGCCAAGCAAGCTGATGGCTGGAACAGGGTTCAATTGGTCTCAGAACATTTGTTTGTTTTCTTTTTTTAATTTTTTTTTAATTTTTCACTAGTTTATTTACAAAATTCAAATACAAATTTGAACAAATTCTTTCAACTTCCCTCACCTCTCCCAGCCATCAAACTGTACAACCCAATGATTAATCTCCCCTTCCCCCTGCACATCCACATCCCTCTGCTTCAGCTTCTTCCACCCCTCCTGGATCCTTATACTCATTCTACAATAACAGTCTTATACAATATTTATCCTTATGGGACTGAATTAGTTCACTCAGCATAATGCTCTTCAGTATGGGGGAAAACTACCACCCATTTGTATGGGGAAAAACCCAGATGGCTGGACTACGTGTAAACTCCACCTGGTGTCAGCTCCCCTGAGCCCTACCAGGCTCTGCACCCCTGTCTACTTAGGTTAACATGCAGCCAGTGACCCAGGCTGACCCCTGCTGATGACCCTGCCTGTCTTCCAGATAAGCACCTGGCCCTCCAGTTCACAGACTGGGTCCTGAGGGGCACTGCCCAGGTGATGTTCGTCAACAACCCCCTCAGCGGGTTCATCATCTTCATCGGGCTGCTGATCCAGAATCCCTGGTGGATGGTCGCCGGCTGCCTGGGCACCATTGTCTCCACCTTGACCGCCCTTGCTTTGAGCCAGGACAGGTGGGTCCCTCTCTATAGGATTTGGCAAGGTGCATGTGGCAAGTAGGAGGAGACGTATTTACTTGAGTAGCCAGCCAAAAGAATCCTTCCAGCCAGTCCAGTCTCTTGGGCATCCACTGTGAGCGCGGCACGGTAGATCCTCACGGAATGGACCAACTCCTGGTGTTCACAGCAGGGGCTCACCCAGCTCTGTGATCCAGGGTCATCTGGGAACCTTCCCTTTGGAGGGAAGCACAAAAGAGTCTCCTTGTCCTTATCAAAAAGCTGTTCTGCCCCTGTGGAGACCACACTCTAGTTAAGAGAGACAAGATTAATGGACAGAAAATGTCTTGGAATAATATAAAACGGTGTGTGATCAAGAGCTCTGAGAAGGCAGGAAGCAATGCATCGCTGGGGGATGGAAAGAGCAGTTCCTGGGTTAGACATGTCGAATATGAGGAGAGTATGAAAGAGGAGAGCAGGGTGCGAGGGAGAAAACAAGCTGGGCACAAAGGTATGGGGTGCATGGGGAGAGTCACCTCTGGCTGAGGTCGCACAAGACGCAACGTTGAGGGACAAGAACAACAGCTAGCATATGGCAGAATGTGACCATTTCCTTGGACTTTGCCATGTTTAGATTCCAATCCCAAATTTCCCAGACATTCGGAATCATATCAGGTACTTGTTCAAAAGTAGAACTTCTTATCCTGCACCCTCCCCTCCACAGGTGTTCTGACTCGGTGTATCTGGGCAGAAATCAATTTTCTTTCTTAAAGTGTATGATGGTGTGTGCATGTGTGTTTTAAGTGCATATATATAATAAAGCACTTGCCATTTCAACAGCTTTTATTATGGTAAATACGTTAAGTAATAGCATTCACCTTTTCAATGTTTTTTTTTTCCATTTTTTGTCTTACATTGGTTTGCTTACAAAGTTTGTATACATTGTGTTTTACACTATTCTTCATTCACATTGTGTTTCATGCAATCGTTCCCATGCATTATGTTTTCTAATTGGTATATCTATAATTTTGTTATAGTAATTATTCTCATCAATTATACAACTATCACTATATATTCTTAGAAACACTATTGTGTACCATCAAATCAGTTCTGACCGCTACAGAAGGAGATTGCCCCTCCTTCTCCAGCACAGCATCTGGTGGATTCAAACTGCATACCTCTGGGATTGCAGTGCAGCTTCTTGCCACTAGGCCACCTGAGCTCCCCTTTGGGCAGTGTGTTTGGAAGACACTAGATTATCCCACATTTAACCCCTTGCCCTTGATCCTATTCTCCACCATAAGGGCCCATGGAACAGACTAGAACTTGCCCATGAGAGTCTCAAGGCTGGAATCCTTACAGAAGCAGACAGCCTCATTTCTCTCCCACGGAGCAGTGGACAGCTCCAAACAGCTAACCTTTGAGGGGTCACTGGAACTCTAACAATGGAGGAATTTGAGTTCAGATGGATGAGAGGCTGAATTTTTTCAGGGACAGGATTGATGAGACAAAAAATGGGCTTAAACCATGATTTATTTTTGTGCCTCTATTTCAAGTAGTGGATTTCCCCTTCACAACCCCTACTTCCCTGTGGTCTTACAGGCTGCTGGCGCCGAAATGGCCCTGGAGCTCTTATGGTCTAGTGGCAAGAAGCTGCATTGCAATCCCAAAGGCACACAGTTTGAGGCCACTGGCTGCTCTGTGGGAGAAGGATGGACATTCTCCTCCTTTGAGATTACTGCCTGTGAAAACCCTCTGGAGGGTCAGCTCCAGGTCGGTTCTGACTCTACAGTACACAACAACAACATCAGCCCACGTCTTGCTGCTTTCTCCCTCCACTGTGACTTCTGCCAGGTTCTCTGACTCATTTGCTGTGTTACTTCAGCTGAGCCTTTCCCCCATCTCAGCCCCAGTGTCCTCTTCTGTAAAACAGTCAGTTCAGCTTAGAGGAGCCTGAATCCTTTTCTCTGGTAGACTGTCTCAGCTTTTCCTCCTCCCCACAATCCACAGGTAAGATTTCTTGAGCCATTCAGAGTCACTGCAGGTTTCTGTCAGATCCTTCTAGATGCAGAGCAGTCTGACTCTCCCCTAAGAGGCAGAAGAGGGCTTAGCCACAAAGACCCAAACCCAGCTCAATGCAGATGAGCCACTTCAGACTCCTGAGACCCCCCCTGGGTTTCCTCAGCTATAAATCTGTACAGGATGAGCCTGCCCAGCTTTCTCCCACAGAACCACTGGTGGATTGACACCACCTGCCTTTCAGTTAGCAACCCAACATCTTACATATGACAGAAGACAAAGCGAAATAAGCTAATCCTACTACTGCTTTTTTTCCATGCAAATAGCTGGCATGCTGTGTGGGCTTTTTGCCATGTGCACCCATCCCTTGCAGGAGGGGGAGGGGTGTATTTTCATAAACACATGCTATGCTAATTTTTCACTTGCACACAGAGTGACCAAGACACGTGTACATGTGTGCATGGGTAGATGTACGTGTGTACATGTGTTTGTGTGTCTGTTATATAGAAAGGTGCTGGCAGGCACGTGGCTGCCATGGAGGGGGCTGGCTTTTCTCTGGACAATGTTACCTACTTTAAGCTTATCCTCAGAGGACCAGAAGAGCCTTGATAAGCGCCTGTGAACTCAAATGCAACGTGGTTCTGTTTCGCGCCAGGTCCGCCATTGCTTCCGGACTCTACGGGTACAACGGCATGCTGGTGGGGCTGCTGATGGCTGTATTCTCCGAGAAGACGGACTACTACTGGTGGCTCCTGTTTCCTGTGACCTTCATGGCCATGGCCTGGTGAGGCAGCTCCCTCTCCCTGCTTCCTGGGGCGTTCATGTCTTAATCTGAAACCTTGTGGAGCCCAAGGTCTTCCTGCTCAGGCTGGCCTGTCTAGCAAAATAGTGTGAAAGTGTGTGTGTGTGTGTGTGTGTGTGTGTGTGTGTGTGTGTGTGTTCAGTTACAACACAGTGGGATCACTTTTTAATTTGGACTAATGGAGACCTTTTAGAGCAGCAGAGGCTTTGGTTCTTTTTATTGTGCTGAAAATATCCCTTGAAATGTATACTTTAAAATAAAAGCTAGAAGTTACTGAGTGTGAAATATCTCATGGACTGCCAAGAGAACAAATAGATACATCTTGGGGGGAAATGCAGTCAGAGTGCTCTTTGGAGACAAAGCGGGTGAGGCTTTGTCTCGTACTGTGAGCATGTTGCTAGGAGAGGTTATTCCTTGGAGAAGGACATCATGTTTGGAAAGGTAGAGGATCAGCAAAAGAGAGAAAGACCCTCAATAAGATGAATTGACAAGGGGAAGGCAGCAACAGGCCGGAGAATGTCAGAGATGATGAAGATGGCACAGGACAGGATAGGAGTCAGATCTGTTGTTCATAGGGTTGCTATGAATCATACTCACTCGACGGCACCTAAAAACAACAAAGCATAGCACTAAGCAAAGTGAGGTTATTATCGTCTACGATTTGCAGAAGGGAAGCTCAAGACATGCAGAGGTTAACTAGCTTGTCCCTGACCATACTCCTTTGCAGAGTGCTTTTGAATGTTGGCCAGCTCAATGCCCAGCCTCTGCTGTCAAACAGCAGGCCACGTGGCAATCAGCACCTCTGTGGCCTAACGCTTCAACCCTCTGAAACTGAAAATGCTCTTACAGTATCCAAGGACTTTCCTGAAAGAGAATTTCTATATTTAAACACAGAATCTGTGAAGTAAAGTACCAGATGAGACCTTTCAGTATGATCACCTCATTTTGCAGATAGAATGAAAAGGTCAAGATGAAAGGGAGTTGAGTACAGGGTATGCTCCGCGCTCCTTCATTCACGGGGATTGACAACAAGTCTGCAGAGGGTCCAAAGTGTCTGTAATGTGCACGATGTCACACGTAGCAGGAAGCCTGACGTGGATCCACGTCACCCAGCCTCTAGCTTCATGTACATTTACCACCCTGTGCTCCATGCCTCCCAGAATCCCTCCCAGACGTGGATTTTTTTTTATTTTTTTTTTCATGTGTGTGTATTGTCAAATCGGATCTGTCTGGTACAGGAGGAGCTTGCCCCTCCTTCTCGAGCAAAGCATCTGGTGGACTCGAACCACGTACCTCTGGGATTGCAGTACAGTTTCTTGCCACTAGGCCACCAAAGCTCCATTGACGTGGACATTTCTTAAAACATCTCTAAGAAGTAGATGTCTTCTTTCACTTTCAAACTCTGAAGTTAGTAAAACCAGTTCGTTTAATTTAGCTTAAATACTATTTCATTACTTTTCAGTAGTGTTTACAAATAAATAACTACATTATGCATTCTGGGTAATTTCTTTTTCTTTTGGGGTTTCTTTCTTTCTTTTTAATAAAATTTTTATTTTTACTGGTTTACTTAAAAAGTTCATGTACATTGTTTTCCACACCAGATCTTTCTTTTGACAGTCCATGGTATACTCAGTACCCTTCACCAACAGCACAATTCAAAGGCATCAGGATTTTTCTGTAGTTTGGTTGTGTGTGGTTTGTTGTTTTGTTTTTTCAGTTTTATTTAAATTTATTATTAATTTCAGTAAAAATTTACAGAGACTTTAGATTTCCATTCAGTCATTGTTGCACTTTTCTCCCCTCCCAATCCTCCCCCCTACGACACTACCCTCTTGGAAAAGTAAAAGAAAAATTTTTCATTGTTTTACAAACCCTCCCCCAGGTCCACTCCACCATGTAGCCTTTGCTCTAGACTCCTGTCATGACAAAAATACCTAATCATATATCCCTTTTAAACAGTTTTCTCCCTCATTTGTTTCAATGCAGTATACATTATTGAACCCATCTTTCTCAGTCTCTCCCCAACCCCAAGGTCAGTCCTGTTTTACAACAGTGGCACCATGCAGTATTTGTCCTTTTGTGACTGAGATACTTTACTCAGCATAATGTCCTCCAGAGTCACCCATTTTTAATAATATTGCATGAGTTCCTTGTTTTTCAATGCAGTATAATATTCCATTGTGTGAACATACCACAGCTTCTCTATCCATTCATTTATTGATGGGCACTTAGGTTGTTTCCAACTCCTTGCTACTGTGAACAAAGCCACAATAAACATGGGTGTGCATATATCTGCTTGGGTGTCAGCTATGGTCTCTTTGGGGTATATTCCCAGTAGTGGAATTGCTGGGTCAAATGGTATCTCTATTTGCAACTTTTTGAGAAAGAGCCATACTGCCTTCCACAGTGGTTGCACCATTTTACATTCCCATCAACAGTGGTTCCAGTTTCTCCACAACCTCCCCAGCATTTGTTGCTTGCTGTTCTGTTAAATTTTGCTATTCTGACTAGGGTGAGATGATATCTCATAGTTGTTTTAGGGTTTTTTCTTTCTTTCTTAATCAGTGGAGACCAAAAAAAGCTAAAGCAGAAATTTCCTGAATGTTTCCCATATGAACTGTGTCAGGGCCAAGAGAACCTGTCTTGCATACATTTGGGTTACAATTCTAGACTCTAAACCCTTTTGCCAGGCCCTTAACCTTTCTGTGCTGGGTGGTGCTTTGTCTTTAGTACTCTCTTATTTCCCACTTAAGAGATCTGGTGGCTTAGTGGTAAGGAGTTTTGTTGCCAACCCAAAGGCAGGCGTTTCAAATCCACTAGCTGCTCTGTGGAAGAAAATGGATGCACTCCTCCCATGCCATTTACTGCGTCTGAAAATCTGGAGATTAGCTATGAGTCAGTTCTGACTTGACAATACACAGTAACAATATAATAAATAGTTGCACTGCTGACCCAAAGACCTCTCCAAATCCACTAGCTTCTCCATGGGAAAAAGATGGACAATCCTCCCATGCTGCTTAGAGCCTCTGAAAACCCACTGGTTTTCACATCAGCTTAAGTTGATTGTGACTTGATGGCATATAACAACAACAACAATCCTGAACTAAGTTTTCTACTTCTAAATTCATAAATCGATTCCTGAAACCCTTGAAATTTAATCCAGATGGTGGTGGTTGTTAATCCAGGTGCTAAGTGCTAATAATTCCATTTTCCAGATTTATCCCCACAAATAAATATCTGCAGAGCACTTGCGATGTGCAGGAACTATTCTCAATACTGGGGATCACTGTGAACAAGAAAAGGTCTCTATCCCACTGAAGTTTATGTTCTACTTGGTGAAACAATAAGCTCATACCAGCCAAGAAAGAATGAAATTATAAGATGCAGTAGATGCTAAATATCTTAAGTGACTTGTCCCTTTCAGAGAAAATAAAAAGTGTTGTTCTGTGACATCAAGTCAAGTATGACTCATAGCGACCCTATGGACAACAAATTTGGGCCCTGTCCTATCCTGTGCCTTCCTCATCATCTCTGTCACACTTGAGCCCATTGGTGCTGTCATTGCGTCAGTCTAGCTCACTGAGGGTCTTTGCCACCTTTGCTGACCTTCCGTTTTTCCAAGCCTAGTGTCCCTTTCCAAGAAATAGCCTCTCCTAGCAATGTGCCCAAAATATGTGAGATGAAGTTTCACCATCCTTGCCTCCAAGGAGCATTCCAACTACACTTTTCCCAAGATCTATCAATTACTAAGAGCAATTAACTCCTGAAGATTGTTCACTCAGCCTAAAGAATAGATTTGCACTTAGGTCTGTTATGTCTCCAAAATCCAAACTGAAAATTTCCTTTTCACCCAGTGGTCCCTAGAGTGCGCTAGAACAGCTGCTTTCATTGGGCACATTACCTCCAAACCAACCAGTGGACCCCAAGGCTCTCAAGGAAGCAGTGAATCCGTGTGCCAAGAAAGAAACAGTGAGCGGAAGAGTGGTCAGAAATAATGAGATCGAGAGACCTATTAACTCTGTGCTGCTTCCATCCTTAGCCCAGTTCTTTCTAGTGCCTTGAGTTCCATCTTCAGCAAGTGGGACCTCCCAGTCTTCACACTGCCCTTCAACATCGCCGTGACCCTGTACCTGGCAGCCACGGGCCACTACAACCTCTTCTTCCCCACAACACTGGTGGTGCCTGTGTCTTCAGTGCCCAACATCACCTGGACAGAGATTGAGATGCCCTTGGTAAGTTGTCCAGTAGAAGAGGTAGAACCTGAGATTCAACCTCTCGTGGTGCTAATTAATTGTGCATTACTCATGGTCTCAGCTTCTCTAATTCTATCTCCCTGATGATGGGACTCAGGTGAGGAAAGGCTGCTTCCACATTGATACATATGTTCAACACATTCTTATTAGGCTCCTAAAATGTGCTGGATGCTTCTTTGAGTTCTATGAACACAAGGCAGACAATATCCCTCTTCTAGAAAGTTTCTACTCTGCATAAACAAATTATAGACAAATAAGTATTAACTGACAATATAAAACAATAGCATTGAGATGGAAATACTAGCTATGATGGATATTAATAAAAGAACAAGAGACTAAAATGTTTAAAATGAAACTTTTTAAAGTTACCTTTGATGAAAAACAGTGTGAATTTTCATGTGTATTGGGAGTTCTCAAAAATAATTTTATGCCACAGAGGACATTCAGCAATGATGCTGAACATTCTACAGAGTCTGTGAGGTGAAGGGTCATCATCCTTGCCTCCAAGAAGCACCCCTGGTTTCACTTACTCCAAGACAGACTTATTTATTCTTTTCTGTGGGATATTCAGCACTCTTCTCCAACACCACAATTCAAAGACATCAATTCTTCAGTCATCCTTACTCAGTGTCCAACTTTCAGATGCATAAGAGGCAATTGAAAACACCATGGCTTGAATCAGATACACCTTAGTCTCTACACTGACTTCCTTGCTCTTTAACACTGCCACCAAGACATGTAGTAAGTAGGCATGGTCAACATGGTGAGGGCTTGGAGATCAGGCCACCCAAACAACATTTGAGGACACGTTTTCTAATATCTGAAAGGGAATCATCCAAGCAATATTCTGAGTCTAGAAAGCAGAGAGAACCAGTGGATGAGCATTAAGGGTGACAAATTTCAGAGGAATACAGTGGAGATTGTGGCTAGTTTGAAAGAATCATCAATGGCTGGTCTTCAGGTGCAAGCTGCTTGTGAGTGCTCTGGCCCCACATTGGCCCTGACATCCACACATAAGGAATTATCCCAGAAACAGCCCCAGGAACAGATGACACTTGAAGGGGAAAAAAGACCCACTGAGCATCCATCTGCACTGTGGGATTGTAAAGCTCAGTATTGAGAGGACCAGAGTTAAGAGTATCACAGAGATGCTTCGTTGGATCATCTTCAAAAGGAGAAAGCAGAAAGTATTAGAACCAAGACCCAAGTTCAGATACCCAGAGACCCATGCTCGATCTCTTAACTCCCACCACACTACCACTCTGACCACCAGCTCTTTCTCCCTTACACTAGTTGGGTCCAAGTTTTGAACAATCAGTGCCATTTCCCCTCCTTCTCCATATAACAAGGAGGGCAATGATTTCCTTTTTGTTTAGCCAGCTGGCTGTGGTTCCATGGGAGTTTATCAGGAGTCAGGAGGAGGCTGGCATTCAGTAAATTTCCACCATACACCTGACTGCCCTTCACACCAGGGTGTCAGCCATGACCTCTCGGGGAGCGTGGAGGGAGGGCAGGAGCGCCCGGTGCCACAGTTCACCAGGCTAAAATACGGATCCTGGCTGAGGACGATTCTTTCTAAACCCAGGCTCCATTCCAAGGTATCTTGTTCCCTCATTCTTCTCATTCTTGACTGCTTGGGCTTAAAACCTATGTTCTTTGGTTGAAGAGGGAAAGTTGCAGTGCCCCAGCACCCTGCATTCTTCAGACCTGGGGAAGTTGTAGGGGGTCACGGGATATTTATTGAGTAGATTTCCAGCCTGTTTGTCACACGTAAGCCGAGTTCTCCAATCTGGTACAAAGTGTTTTGGGGATTCCTATAAATAAAAGTGAGCCCCACCCTGCCATTCCTTTCAGAAATTTGTAGGCTCCAGTCCAGATAATGTTTGGTTATTAGAAGGCCACCCAGAGACTAGTGAACCAAGCTTAAAAGACCCATGGAGCTATTTAGATATTTAACCCATAGAGAAACCAGACTGGTCCCAGAATCAAGTCAAGTTGATAATAAAGCACCACATTTTATCCAAAAGGAGAGATATAATCATCTCCCAATATCTACAATAGATTAACTACAGCTAATTTTAAAAATAAATGGAGGGAAAGCCAAAACAATAGTTCCCCATGAAAACAACCTCGACAGGGTGACCTCGCATGTGTCAGAGAAAGATTTTCAAGGGCTGATTTCTGAGAAGGAGATCACCAGCCATTTCCTCCAAGGAGTATCTGCGTGGATTCAAACTGTGTAGATACCAACCTTGCAATTGGTAATCAAGTACTTAACTGTATTCATTACCCAAGGACTCCATAACTAACCCAGTAGTCCTCAAACTCTATTGTATTTCAGAATCACTTGATGCGTAAGCCTTATCCCACCCCATGCCAGTTAAATAAGAATGCTAAGGCATCAGAATTTTTTCAGAAGAACCCCAAGTGATATTGATGCTCAACAAAGGTTAGGAACCACTGAATTAATCTCAATCACTACAGTTCTAGTTGGTGCCTATTGAGTACCCAGTCCTCACAGCATCCCTATGCTTAAATGCATCTTTCACAGCTGGGTACTGAATAGATAACCTCGAAGATGCACGCTCTAGTAGCATAGTCTGTAGGGAATTGTGCTGCTAACTCAAAGGCCATGGCTTCCTGAGGGTTCAAATCCACCAGAAGCTTCGAGGGAGAAAGATGAGCAATCTCCCCTCCTGTGATTTACAGCCTGAGGAACCCAATGGAGGGTCAGCTATGAGTTAGTACCAAACTCAATGGCAATGAGCTTGAGTGAAACCTTGAAGAGGTCCGATGACGTGGGAATGGAGATAGGAAGTTCACGGTTTTGAAGCCGGATGGATCACCTGCTAGGCCAGCCTCCTTATACCTTAGGGGAGGACACCAAAACCCAGGAGGAGGACATGATGTGGCCACAGTCACACAGTGAACCTGGAGCCCTGGACTCCCAGGCCAGTGAGCTCCCACCCTGCAATGTCCCCTCTTTCTTTTCCTCCTTGAAAGCATTGGCCATATGTGGATGAGTCAGCCTGGTGGGATAGAAAGGTCATTTACATCGGTGCCAAATCTGTTCCTGTTGAGTTGATTCCAAAGTATAGCAGCTCTTTATGTATTGGAATAAAATTATGATCCACATGGTTTTCTGTGGCTGCTTTTGTAGAAATAGATCACCTGGCCTTTCCTCTGAGGAACCCCTTGGTAGACTAGAACTGTCAACCTTTAGTTAACCACCAAGTGTATTAATCACCTGTACCATTCAGAGATTCTCACTGTCAAATTAATCATCTCAAATTCCAACATCAACAAGTCACTCTTGAGCTCTGAATACTTGGGCTTCCTACTGTTCTCTGAACACTTGACAGACGACCTTACCTCAATGTTGAGGGTCCTTTGGTATTTTCAATTGCTTCCTACGTTCACACCACGCTCTGCTGGCTTGATAGGCAGGAGTTGAGCTGCCAATCCAAAGCTTCCAATCCACCAGCTACTCTGCGGAAAAAGATGTTCAATCTCCTCCCATGTGATTCACGGTCTCTGAAAACTCACTGGAGGGTTACCTCTGAGTCAGTGCTGACTCGATGGTACACAACCACAACAATCCTGTTTGCAAAAGGTGGGCAATTAATATGGAAAACCAAAGCAGAGTTCATGTCTTTGAATTGGGGTGCTCACGAAGACCATTGAAGATGTCGTGGGTGTCTCACAGAGCACACGGATCTGTCTTGAACGCAGTGACGCCAGAGTGCCCGTTAGAGGGAAGGAGGATGAGACTTCATCGCATACACTGTGGGCATTTATCAGTGAGATGAGGCCCCAGAGAAGGATATTACAGTTGGAAAAATAGTTGATGAAAGAGGGGAAGACCCTCAATGAGATGAACTGACAGTGACTGAAGAAATAGGCACTTTTGATCAAATTATCCCTCAAAATGGCCTCCAATTTTTCCAAGAACATTTCCTAGAATATTCCCAGTATTCCTAGAGGGGGCTTTTAGGACTGCACAGGGACTGGAGAGAAGCCCTCAGTGCTCTGGCAATCTTAGTCTCCTCAACTCTCTGGTTCCCTCACAATGTCCACTCTCCAAGCCTGTGTTCCGCAGAAGGCTCGGTGCCCAGCCCCTGGGCCACGGGTGTGCCTGCCCAGCCTGAGGGACGCTCAGATGCCCGCTGGGTGTTGGAGTGAAGCGCTATTTGTTCCAGCTCTTGCCCTCTCGTGTTCTCTCACACTTTCAAGGGCACCGTCAGCCTCCCGTTCTGCCCCATTACGCTCCCAGCAAAGGCTCGGGCCTGACCCTGAGGCCCAGTGTCTGCATCATCAGCCCGTGCTCAAGTGACCTGAACTCTGTTGACTTTGCAGCTGTTACAAGCCATCCCCATCGGGGTCGGTCAGGTGTACGGCTGCGACAATCCCTGGACAGGTGGCGTGTTCCTGGTGGCTCTGTTCATCTCCTCGCCCCTCATCTGCTTGCACGCAGCCATTGGCTCAATTGTGGGGATGTTGGCAGGTAGGACACAGGCCTCCATCCTTCACAGTGGTCCTGGGATGCTTCTTGTGTGGTCACTTTTCCATGTATCAGAAAATAGTCTGGACTTAAGGTTCTTCCCTGAGATACTAAGACATTTCAAGGGGTAGGGATTTATTTTTGTTTTCCCCTTTCTTGAACTATTAAAAGGAGCAGGATGCAGTAGTCAGACACGTGGAGAAATGTGAGGATTAAGACCCAGTCAGCCTGTAAATGGGACTGCTGGGTGCTAAGATCTGAAAGGAAGTTGGTAATGTAGGTGGGAGTGGTGAACAGTAGCAGGTTATGCAGGGGTTTAAGTGATCACCATGCTGAAATTTGCACAAGCTAAAAGCAAAGCATGGCGGCCCCAAGAGTGCAGAATAGCTTGTTATACCACAGCGTTTTCCAGACTGAGACCTTTCAACAACGGATCTCCAGGTCTGACCTCCAACATGCAGCTGAATAGGTGTGAACTGCCACCTTTTCAGTTAGTCATCCACCTTTGTGCCACTCAGGATATGACTCAGGGTGGCCATGAATTAAAATTGTCTCCGTGGCAACTAACAACAGCAAAAAAAGGAAAAGTTAACTGAAACTTAGATTGTCAATTGGCCAATGTAACTGAATATTATTAATATGTGTGCAGATATGTATATATGCACATGTATGTGTATATAAGAGCCCTTATGGTGCTGGCAAAGTGTTCAGCTGGTCTGAACCCACGTGCCGCTCAGGGGAGAAAGGCGTCACAGTCTGCTTCCGTAATGACCACAGCCTTGGAAGCCTTTTCAGGCAGTTCTGCTCTGTCCTATAGGGTTACTGGAGTCAGAAGCAATTTAATGGCAACACATTTGGGGAGGTGTCTGCACTGACAGTAGAAACAGAAATCAGTGGAAGAATTTAAGAGTAAGAGTTGATTGACTCGTTCCAATGTTTGTAAGCACATTCTGAAAGCAGAACTTTGAATATTTTTTAATTCATAAATAATCCCCAAAGTAGAAAAATTTGAGAAATGGTGCAAAACACACTCAAAAACTCTTTATCCAAACTCACATGTTACTCAGACCTTACCCATTTTGTTGTATCATGTCTCTATCCGTATTCATGATGATGGGAGCAATTTTTAAATGACATCTTCCTTTCTGAAAATGCAGCTGCTGTCACCAAAGATATGGGGAAAGGCCTTAAGCTTCACTTCTTTGGTTGCCCCAGAGATAATCATAGTTGTGGCTTCCAAAAATGGTTTGAAAATCACTGCTCTTTTAGCAGAGTTTCTTTCTTATGAATAGATCATCACTCGTGGAGGCTCATCTGGCACCTAGGGACAGGGTGTGGAGTGAATGTCACGAGTGGGTCAGGCCATCAGGTAGCCTTTGCCCTGTGACTTAGAACTGTCCAGAAACACCAAGTATTGTCCCACAGCCCTGACAGTGGCCACACCTTTTGAGAAAATCTACCTGGGCCTCTGGAGCTACAACTGTGTCCTCTCCTGCATCGCCATTGGAGGCATGTTCTACGCCCTCACCTGGCAGACCCACCTCCTGGCCCTCGTCTGTGGTGAGAACCCCACCTCTGCTCTTCCTTTACCTTCTTGGTTGTGTGAAACCCTTGATGAACATCAGTTGTAGAAGACAGCAGCTTGGGTCCTAACGTCAGTGTTGTTTTTCACAACTGGGGAATTATAAATTGCTTTTCTGGCAAACTGGGTAGTGACCATCACTATTGCTATTGTATTTACACAGTGTTTTCAAGTTTGCAAGGAAATCATGCATTCTTCCTTGCTTCCTAGAACTCATCATCCAACAATTATTTATAATGATAAATATAAATTATATGAATGCCAAGACTAGGCTTAGGGAACCCTGGTGACATAATCCAGGGGGAGCTGTGCTATTAATACAGAGGTCATACCTCTCAGAGAGTTTAATCCACCAGCAGCTCCTTGAGAGAAAGGTGGGAAATCTCCTCTCAGGTGCTTTACAGCCTCAGAAAACTCACTGGAACGTCACTTATGAGTCAGTTTTGACTTAATGGTGATGAAGGAGAGAGTGAGAGTAGGCATGGAAAATACAACGGTGCCAAGGCATGTAGACATCTTTTTGTGAAGTAATGTTTCAACAGAAGAGAAGCAATTGTCCAGATAAGCCTTTGAGACTCTTGAAAAAGATTGCCTCTGCTCTAGGTCCAGGCAAGTGGCTGGGAGGCAGGGGCTGGCTGGGGGAAGCTGAGTCCCTGATTCCTGAGTCCCCTCATTCCTCCACAGCCCTGTTCTCTGCGTACATGGGAGCAGCCCTGTCCAACATAATGGCAGTGGTAAGTGTGCCCGTTCCTGAATCCACCCTAAAGTGTCTTCCCTAGTCTGCATCTCAAGCCTCAGGCTTGGAGTCTCATAGAAGAACCCTTAGTGACTAATGATAGCTGGTGTCTATACAATGCCTCCATCAAGGTTTGTATAGAGTTTGTCCTGAGAAGAATGCATATACAGTTGCCTCTAGTTGAATGCAGCGGGGGAGGCCGTGGGTAAAGCATCAATAGAGATATAAATATAGGTGCTGGTATATGGCAGGATGCTAATTTTCAGCCCCATTATTAAAAGGTTCTAATTTTGCCCAAAGATACAATACTTTAAATGACTAACTACTCTGGAATTATGAGTCCAGAAATGCAAATATTTTCATTAGGGGAGGGTCTTCATCCTCAATTCTTTCTAGACCCTTCTGTTCCAGGGCCCCTGGCTCAAGTCAGGCCTCAAAGAATGTTCCTCATGCCCCGATGATTTTCTTTTCAGGTTGGCGTGCCACCAGGCACCTGGGCTTTCTGTCTCTCCACCCTCATCTTCCTGCTCCTGACAACCAACAACCCTGCCATCTATAGGCTCCCACTGAGCAAAGTCACCTACCCGGAGGCCAATCGCATCTACTTCCTGACACTGAGAAGCTGCGAAGAAGAGAAATCTCCCAGCGGTGATTAACCAATGCCCAGGCGAAAATGCCTTTTGCTTGGAGTGTCTGTTCCTGTGTCTGCTCTTGTGGCTTCCACTCTGTTCAAGCAACAGCAGCAGTTCTTTGCCTCTCTTTGACTCTGTGGGGACTCAAACTTGTAACTTTCCCAAAAGCTAACTCATGCTCTACCTTTACCTAAGTCACCATAATGCTCCTTGGTAGACCTTTAGAGGAAGTTGATAATGAGCTTCCCGAATTATAAGTAAGAAGTGCATTTTAAAAATCATTGACTCAAAATTAAAACATAATTTAGTTATTTGGGGAAGATGAGTAATTGTTGATTGAGTTCTTTTCTTGTTTAACCAAATGATAAATGTTCCCAAGCAGGAAAAGAAAGGGGGATTCATAGAATCTCAGGGCTGAAAGGGTGAGTGAAGATTATGTGGTCTGACCATCATGTGATACATGAGATTCTTCTTTAATAAAGAACTGGGACTTCAATTTCTTTACAAGCTTCCAGAGAGGAATTTCCCCTGATGTGTTCTAGCAACAGATAATGAGAACTATAAGACCCATGAATTCATTATTGCCAAATTAGTTTTGAAAAATCCCTTCTCCTCTCCAATAAGTTCTTGAGGATCTCTGTCTAAAATATTGCATTTGGAAGAGAATGATCCTTTGATAATGCTTTTAATTATGTTAACAGGAAAGTGAAGCTATTTGGAGCAGGGGAGTATCTATCCATTCCCTTGGACAAGATTGTCCCTCTTTTCCCCATCCACTTCATAATTTGTTGTTTATAAGGTGCCCTGGCCACAAATAGCTGGGTTTTTACCCCAAGTTTCCAGTTTATCCCCTGAAAGGAATTAAAATTTAACTGCATGACAAGCTGCCAAATGCACTTGAAGGCAAATGGATTAAGGCTGAGTTATTCAATAAAAAGAAAATATATCCTTTCCTAGTTAGGCAGTCCTAACAAACAAATATGTCTTGGAGAAAGTGCAGCCATAGTGCTCCTTGGAGGCAAGGACTGTGATATTTCATCTCACATATCTTGGGCATGTTTCTAGAGACTGTTGCAAGAGACTATTTCCAAGAACCTAATGTAAACTGTAACTATTTCCAAGAGACTATTTCTTGGAAAACGTTATAATGCTTGAAAACATGGAGGGTCAGCAAAAGAGAGGAAGACCCTCAACAGTGTGGAATGAAGCAGTGACTGGAAATGGGTTCAGGTATGTCAGAGATGATCAAGATGGCAGAGAATAAGACAGGGTTCAGATCTGTTTTCATAGGGTGGCTACAAGTTGTATTCAACTCACTGGCATCTAACAACGGTAACTCAAATGAACTAAAAGTGGCCTAAAGCCTAAGGGGCAGAGCTGCCATCCCAGTGGGTCTGAGAAGTAGAGCTAATGCCCAAGGTCCAGGGAGCACCGTACACGGCCCAGAAAGCATGGCCAACATCTGCATTCTGCAAGGTGAGGCCATTACCCAGATGGTCTCAGAGAGAAAAAGTTTATTTTCAAGTTCTGAAAATGCCACTTTGAAAATGGCTAGTGGCAAGACGCTGCACTGCAATCCCAGAGGTACACGGTTCAAATCCACCAGATGCTCTGCTGGAGAAGGAGGGGGCAATCTCCTCCTGTACCAGTCAGATCTGATTTGATGGTACATGTAAAAATAATACAATAAAAAAATTTTTTTTTTTAAAAAATGGCTTCTCTAGCCCTTGCCTTAACCCCTCTGGGGGCATGGACTGAAGCTGCCTCAACTGTTGGCACATGGTTTACCATTGATCAGAGTTTTCAACATCATTAACAGATATGAACATAGGAGTGAGAACGAACCTACCTGGACAGAGACTCTGGCAAGGCATTCGTAGCCTGATAGAACCCTGAAGACAGAGCCAGAGTTAAAGGTTCTACTTACTGGACAATTGAAGAAAGAGGTGGTTTGTGAGTGTTCTGAGACAAAACTTGATGGATAACTAAGGAAACCAGAAACCTGTTGTATTTGTGCTGCTGGACTGAGCCTGGACTTTAACTTGTTATTGAAGAAACAGTCTGAACTCACTGAGGAATCATGTCTTGCTGTTAATCTGGCTTGGGACTGCTGTTTACTAAAACTTGGACATTCACTGTTTGTTATCCATCGCCTTCTCCAATCCCCGAACTATTTCCTTAATAAATCCCAAAACTGTGAGTTTTTTTTAAAAAAAAGGAAAATATATGCCCAGCAAGTTTGGGAAAACCGTCAGGTCCCAAAAATTCTCTCTTCTATGGTGCAATCAATATCAGATATTTACAAGGAAAATGGAAACTTTAATTATACCCTATTGTATAACAAGAAAGAAAGAACTCCCTGCATGAAATGTTGTTAATCACTGAATTTTCTTGCCAGGAGAAAGTGTCTATGAGTGATAATATGCTTTCAAATCATCTTTGTGCACTGAGAGGCAGAAAATTGTTAACTGTTCTCTCAAATGTGGTTAAAGGAGCCTCTGAGAAGCTGAAAGGAAACTTATTAAGTCTGGCTTGTGGACAAAGCTTTCATCTCTTCCCTGGGCATGGATAAGAATGGAGCAAAAGTGAAAAATCCCCATCTTTCTGAGAAATGTGTACAGTGCAGGTAACTCTACCCAGAGGCCAAAGGCAGATGCCCAGATGACTTCCAAAGTAACCTCCACTGCTTAGTGGGACCAGACAGCTCACCGTATGATCTTGTCTCACCCTTGCCAAGGCTTTCCTATCTCATTTATCCACAAACTGTAAAAGCACAGAAAACCTGGACTTACAGATTCATACTGACAACATGAGGTTGCAGAAGAATAGAACTTTAGGATCTGATTGCCCGTTATTTTTTACACCTCAATTACTGACAGCTATTTGTTGTACACATTAGAAGCAGTCATGGCATCCGCTTCCTAAACAACATACCTCTGAAAACTCTATGAACTTTGAGAAACGATAGTTACAGAAAGGTTTCAGGTCGTTTATTCATAGAATCAATATGAATCATGCTCAACTCAATGGCAATCAACAACAACAAATGTACAAATGTCAGTGTCCATATTGGACATAAATTTGTAAACATTCAAGAGAGGAGAAATGTATGGGGCAGGGAAGGCTTTAAAGGAGGCCATCTCACCCGAATCTTCCTGTCTTCTCTTCTTGTGACCTCACCATCTCCCTTATCTCCTCCTTCCACACTGAAGGATTCAGCTACAAACCATACCACCAATCATGTCCTGCTGCATTTTTAACTGGTCAATCAGGATTCATTGTCAATCTCTTCTACAATAGCTTACAGAGTCAAGTTCTCCACTTCTTCTTGGGTCAACTTTCAGAGTTTATATTTTCCAGGAAATAATTACTTTTCTTTCATTTAAAAATGAAATTTGTCGTAGAATTGTTTCTATTTCCACAGAATAGTTTTCATCTCTTATATCTGTGGTTTTGTCTTCTTTCTCTTTTTTTATCTTCTATAGTTTCAGTCTCTGTTCTTAATAGGTTTGTGAAGTATTCATCTAATTTAATGCTTTTTTTAAAAGATATCATTTGAGACTTGTCTATTCTGCATGTTTTGATTTGGTTTCTATTTTATTGATTTCTTCTTCCTGCCTCTTTTATTTTTCCTAGTTTCTAAGCCTTTATGTAAAATTTCTCATTTTGGATCATTCTTTTTGACTATAAAAGCCTTAAATACTATTTTTATTTTTATGAGTACAGCAGTAGCTATATATCATAGATTGAGATAAAGTATTCAACTTCCATTGATTTTTTTAAAATAGCTTATCATTTTAGTTTTTATTTCTTATTTGAACCAATGATTGTTTAAGAATGTTTCATAATTTCCAGCACTAATAAATCTATTGGTAATTTTAAATTTTCTAGATAGAGTTTTATTGAATTATAAATAGAAGATATTATCTATTTTAAAGTTTAATAGGCTTTTCTTTGTAACCAAGTACTGACGGATCTGGAGGCATACAAAGTGCCACTTTTTCATTTGAAAGAAATAAGTATTAAATTGAATATTGAATTGTTAATTGGGTTATCCCATTCCTTTTTTTTTTTTTAGTCTATGAGATCTTAATTCTGAAAATAATCACACTATAAATTAAGAGCTTTGATAAGATCTCCCAGAAAGGTTTGCTTTATATATTTCATTGCTGTGTTGTTCTAATGTCTATTTATGACTAGCATTAATTCTTTAAATTTTGTATTTTTCAGAAGAATCATCTTTGCCTTAGTGAGTATAACTTCCATTTTACCTTATCAGCATCAGTGTTACTAGAGCTGCTTTCTTTCTTGCATTTTCTTATCACTGTTTTTAACCTTTATCATTTTAACTGTGTTGCTTAAAAAGTAACATACAGCTGTGTTTTCTTTTTAATCTAATTTTAGTGCTTCTGTGATTTAATGATTCAACCAGTCCCCATTTAGTGTAGCAATCAGTATGATTATTTCTTTTAGCTTACTTTTTTTAAAATGTATTTTTCATAGCTGCTTTTGCTCTTCAGTTTACCTTGTTCTATAAGTTTAATCATGTTACGACATTTTTCATTCTTCCTTCTGTTAACTTTGAAGTTCTGTCGATCTTTCCCATTCCATTAGTGGTTATCATCTGGTTCTCAGCACTCATGATCAAAAATATGTGTGATGTATTTCTTGATTCTTTGCATATCTACAAACTTGTATTCTGACAGGAGAATGGAATTTTGGATGGAGGTAAGGTCTCTGAGCCTTTCCTCTCAGTTGTCTGAGAGAAACAGTCCTTCATTCTGTAGCTTCCAAGTGTTACAAAGGAGAAGTCTGATACCAATCTAATTATTTTTCCTTTACAAATAGTTTATGCTCTTTTTCCAGAAGACTGTAAGAATTTCTTGTTCTCTGCAGTTCTAACATGGCTAAACGTATGTCTAAATTGAAATACTTTCTTATCAGTTCTGCATTTTCATTTACAAAAAAAAGTTTTTCTTTAATTCAATTTTTTTATCTGATATTTGTTTGATTATT